CTACATACATAATATATGTGGACAGATGCATATTATTCATACACATTTATTTATTTATTTATTAAAGATGCACCAATAATATGTTCACAATAATTAAACAGACTATGTACAATGTTATAAGTAAGTAATGAAAAATAATTATTGAAAAATGCTTAAATCTAAGTTTACTTGAACAAAACAAGGCTAGATGAACATATCAATTAGAGGTATTACAACTTTTACAGATAAGTGTTAATGTATGAATAAATGAATGAGTATACTTTATTTGCATTATACAATATAGAGAATAAGCAAGACAATTAAAAAATGTAACGATACAGTTGTATAATTACAGTAAGGCGGTCTTATTGCTGAGAGCAATCTTTTCAAGACAACTTTAAGGTAATGGACTAATTGTTGTACAAGTAGGTATGATAGTACTGTATAATTAAAAAAGCATCTTTTGCAAATTAAAAATATATAAAAATTAAATATATACATACACATATACATACATATATATACATATACACACACATACATATATACATACATACACACACATACATACATATACATATTAATCAAACAAAATTATGTGTTAATGTATAATAAAGTAACAATTATACAATTAGTGGATAGCTAATTACTAATCTAATTTTATTAATAATCACTCATATATGTATGTACATACCATATATGAGTGATTCTTGTGACAAATTTCTTATTCAATACAAATAAAACGCACTGATAACCAACGAGATATTTCGATTATTCGTTTATAAATTGTTTATATTTAAATATTTTATTTTTACTAGATGTTATATTGTAAAACTCCAATTTACTAATTATTTAAATAGAATTATTTTGTTTAATGTTAACGGAAATAAACAAAATAAGTCTATAATTTTGTTTAAAATATATAAAATCATTAAACCGAATTTAATAATTTAATATATTGAATTATTTATAAATTATATTAATAATACAATATATTAATAAATTATATTATTAATATATGTAATAATAATTACATATATTATTACATGTAAAAATATATGTTACAATTAAATGAAAGAATTCTATTCTAGCTATTAAAAATTTAAGAAAGCCTATAAAACTGTAAAAAAGCTGATGACCTTAAAACATCTGGACAGATCTTAATAAATTATAGCTAAGATCCATCTCGATTACATCAACTTTCAAACAAAAAACGCATCATAATTTGTCCACCCGTTTAGGAGCTACCATGCCATAGACAGACACAAAGACACGTCAAAGTTATAACAATCCTCATTTTGCGTCGGTTAAAAATTAACATGCTATAATTCTGTACTTAGTAATTTCACTGCAATACTCACCCTTCAAACCAAAATACAGCCATGCAAACACAATTATTTTTACATACAAGCGTAATTGTTTGTATTTAGCAATTATGTATGTATTTTGTGTGGTCTTATATTTAACAATACCGAATCCTTTTCCAATAAATTCTACATTCTAACGTTTAAAGTAGACACATTGTTACATATCGGTAACAGTTAAAATTTAAATACATTAGAGCACGCATACCAACTCGTAAATATTAATTTTGTATTCGAATCTAGCGTATGAGTGACACAAACAATTGTTCCATTGACTGAAATGTATTGTAAAATTGTCCGTTAATTACATTTGCATAATACACAGCGATTAGTTATAGCATAATATTTTAACAGAATCCAAATTGAAAATTAATATTTTTTTATACATTTATTTATATTACAAGTCTAATATAGTTGTAACTACCTTTTGCCTCCATACCTGAATAGTTGTAACTATCCAGGTATGGAGGGAAAAGGATTGTTAGTAATGGAGTCTAACAACCCTATTGTTAGCAATTTATTCTATCAGGTCGACCTCCTCGCGATATCCCATAGAAACCGTCATAGTTAACTCCTGTTGAACTAGTGATGATAGACAACTTGACCTGTTTTCATCCTTACTAAGTATGTCTCACTGTATCTATGTCCCATTTGTGTTTCAACCGTGAAGCAGTTGTGTTTGCATGGCTGTGTTTCGGTTTGAAGGGCGTGAATTTACTGGGTACAGAGGAATAACACCTGAGTCCTCAGGAATGGCATCGCATGGGGGGTATCATGGGTAAAACAGTATACTCTGTTATGTCCATGGTACTGCTCATGTCTATAGGCGACTGTTACCACTTTCCATCAAGTGGACTGTCAGCTTGTTTGCCATTCTAAGTTGTATAAAAAAAAAAACAAATGTCTCACTGGTGCCCTGCCAGCGTATACCGATATCGCAAGGGTAACCATTCCATTCTCATCCATTAAAAAAAAGTTATGATATGTTCCTAATAATGTTGTAGTAATAACTTTAAAAATATGTTAATATATTTTGTAACAGTAAAACTACTAGGCATGAAGGCATAACATCCTAATGATGGTGGGAGGGATTGTTAGTAAAGGAGATGTTAGTCTCCATTGCTATCAATATAATCTATCAGGTCGATCTCCCCGCGGTTTCCCCTGGAAACCATCGTGACTAAGTTATCGTTGAATTCGTGACGATGGGCTAACTGACCTGCTTCATCCTCACCTATCATCTCTCACTGGTGCCCCGCCGGTGTATACCGATAGCGCAGGCGGGGTTACCATTCCATTATCATCCATTAAAAAAAAATATCCTAATGATCAAGAATAGGCAACGGGTATATAGCTAATTTGACAATTAACTGCCAAAAAGTTGACCCGTTTTTGAGGCTCGATGCTCTGTCTATATAATTAAGTGTTCAACATACTTCACCTTGTTAAGGTCAGGGATCCAGTGGCGGCCGGCTCAATTTTAGATGAAATTGTACTAACTTTGTTCCCATCTCATTTAAGTGTTCAAGTTGCCAAAGTAGTTTTCCTAGTTCGACTTAGTGTAATTGCCTTAACACTTGACTTTGGGCCGAAACTTCATGGTGAGAGTATGATTATCAACGTAAATAGTGCTCATTTCAAGTTCGATACTAGATAGATAGATAGATAATTTATTTGCATTACTTACAGCACACAAATTACATCATACATACACAAAAAAAAAAGCGAGATAACATAAATGACAAAAAAAAAATACATAAAGCTAAATACAATTTTCGTTTGTGAGTGTGCCATAGCAATACAAAATGGCCACAACTCAGTTTATTGCTTCACCCTCAAAAGAGCAAAGCACTGATATTCTGTTGCGGCCAAAGGGAATAGAGTAACGATAAAACAATACCACCAGACTATCCGTACAGCAAATAGACAGATATACAGTAAACAGACAGATATGACAGCTTATCTAGCAGACAAATGGAACTATAGGATACTAGTCGATCTGCTCTGAAGTTAAACGTAAGTAAATCTTTACTAATAATATAAAGGTGCAAGTGAGATTGTTTGTTGCCTTGTATTATTTATTTTAAATATTTTGTACAAAAAAAAATTATTTCCTTATCTTTTATCTGAACCAATTTTTTCTAACAGTTATAAATCCTATTATTAATACAATAAATGCGAAAGTTTGTAACGATGTATAAATGTTTGTTGCTCTTTCACGCAAAAACTACTTAACGGATTCGAATGAAATTTGCTACACAGATACGTAAGATACTTTGTATATTGTTTGACACGGAAGAAGCCGCGAGATACAGATAGTATTATATAAAAATCTCTAGCATCGAATTATTATGTAGTATGTTGTTAGTTATATTGCTAAATATTGCCAAATATGAATCAATGGATACAAATCTTCGTTAGCAAAGTTTATTATAAAAATACATAGATTTTGAAATTATTCTTGGTAGAGGATGCAGGACTAGAAGACTGACTTGACACTCGCAATGCTAAGCCAATAAAATTGTTCACAATTTTTTTTTAATTTAACATCAATTGCATTGCATGGAATAATTATTATAAAATAATAAAAATATATGAAATTGTGCATTGTTTCAATTTGTAATTACAGTATATTTCTTTTTTTGAGTAAATATATAATTTTACATATATCTAGAAATATAGACACATATCTGAAATTATGCCTTGTTATTTTACTATATGTATTTATTAATTAAAATTAAATATTTCATAAATAAATTGATAAATGTTCACCAAACTAACAGAGAACTGTTATAACATATAAGATAATCCAGTTTCAAGGGATATTAAGGTCGTGAAGTATCCATATTAATACTTTAAAATCGACATTATTCCAACATTTGCTGTTGTTATTTATTTCTTTTAATTTTGAACACCAGTTAATACCAATCCGTGCTTATTGTTGTCGGATTTATAATTGCTATCAGTAATTTATTGTACTTTTTATATTTATAATAATAATTGATTGGCATGAATTTACTGGGTACAGAGGAATAACACCTGAGTCCTCAGGAATGGCAACGCATGGAGGGTATCATGAGCGAAACAGTATACTCTGTTATGTCCATGGTACTGCTCATGTCTATAGGTGACGGTTACCACTTTTCATCAGGTAAGCCGTCAGCTTGTTTGCCATTCTAAGTTGTATAAAAAAAAAAAACTTAAAATAAATAGTCATTGAAAGTAAAAATAAAGCATCGATTAACAAATACAGGTTTGGACTGTAACATATATTTACTCTAAGTTACAAATTAGGGTAACGTGTATCTTGTAAAACTATTTGTTGTTTAAGAAACTACAAATAAATAATTATATTATTGTCATTATTTTTTTTTATTCAACTTAACTAACTTAATTAACTAACTAACCTAACTAGTTTAATTTTACCAATGGGATTTGGATTTTTGAATCGATTTCGACTTCGACATTTTAAAATACTCGGTATTTCAACACAGTTTACATTGATTTATTTATTTATTGGTCAACAAGTTAGTAATCAACATCATTACGTATATATTTTATAAGTTTTACTAAAGCTGTCTGTTTACTAAGTCTATAGTTGAAAGTACAAAATTTGTGAATGTCTATTACCTTGTTTACAAACAAAAGCGCACTTACCTCAAGGCCGGCGGGTTGATCCTCTGCTCCCTCTTCCTCCTCCTGCACTCACTGTCCACTTTCTTATCACTGTCACGTATCGTATGGTATCTCGGCTGATAACTTTCCAGTTGCGTGTACAAACGCGCGCGTGGCGCGGGCGATGGCAGCCGCTGCGACATAAATTCAACACGTTCGTACTCCGTCGCGGTCGGTGCGACACTGCCATGCGTTTGGACCCTCTCAACGTAGCCGGGACGTCGCTTTTCGTCGACGAAAGCAATACGGGGTGGTTTTGGTTGCATCAGGCTTATCTTTTTCTTCTTCGCCGTAGATGTAACGTAGAAGAAGTAGCCGTTGCGGTCCATTTTTGGCGCGGTCGCTTTTACCTGTGGACGCAAAACAAATTTATTTTTTTTAATGGGTGAAAATGGTATGGTAACCCCCACCTGCGCTAACGGAATACGCTGGCTGAGCACCAGTGAAGGGTGATAGATGAGAATGAAAACAGGTCAGTTAGCCCATCATGATGAATTCATCAGGAATTAACCATGATAGTTTCCAGGGGGAACCGCGAGGAGGTCGACCTGGTTGGGTATGTTGCTAGCAATGGGATTCTCAGTCTCCATTACTAACAATCCCTTTCCCCTCGCAAAACAAATGTTATATTTGACGATGACATTCCTAAAGATGCTTTGTTATTATGATAATTGAAACTTTATTTCATTAGACGGCGCTTTACCATCTTAATCAAGATGAATATAGTATTAAAAAATTAGATTTTATTACACTAATTTACGAAATTAATTGTTACAGTAAATCTGTAAAGTTATACAATACAGTTGCTGAATGTAGAATTGGAATCTAAGATTATGTAGATATATAGATGAATTTGGGAAAAAATCAAATAATTATCAGATAAATAATACATTTAAGATGCAAAATCTTCAAAAAAAAAATACAAGAAAAGAATTCTATTTTATTACGATAAAATTAAAAAAAATATTATTACATAAATTAAAATTCGTAAATATGAATTTTAAACGAATAATACAATGGATTAAAAAACCATATCCTTTTAGAAGTCTCTTGAAAACAGACTTATACTTCATTCCCCTCGTCTTCTAGTTACTGTAGCTACTTGAATTTTTAGTATACCTGTAGTAAATTGGGTATAATTTGTCACAAAAATAACTTTAGTGAACTGGGTGTTAACTTTACGAGTGCTGTGTTTGGGGAAGATGATAAAAAAGTTACGGCATCCGTCGTTGTTGTTACAAAGTTTGGAAACCAAACTACGTAGCGTACAATGTCATTTATTTGCTGCCAAATACAATAGCTCTTGCATCGGATTTAATGAAGCATTTATTATTCAATCAAATTAATATTAAATTATAGATTATTTTTTTAAATGTTAATATACAGAAATGGCGATTTCGTAATCTAGTTTCCAAATAATTAATTTTTTTATTTAAATCAATAGAGGAATGAATAAATGAAAACTTTATTGCTTCCTTCAAAGAATGATACAGTTTATAAAGGTTAACAATATGTACGCAAACAAAATTAATACTTCATTACATAAACTTAATTACATAAAAGTCAGATAAAGAGGCAACAAATTTCAAAAAGAGGTAAAAAAAATATTAATTCAAAATATTTGAAATTGACGTAAGCATTCGAAGTATTAGAACGATTATTTATCACTTTCCTGCATGTAGGCTGTCAGCTTATTTCATCTTTTTAAATTGTATGAAAAATGAGTAAAAAAATTAATACAGTCTACTAAATGTATTTTGTCACGTCATACATTTGACAATTTACAATTGCATTGCATTGCATTACTAACATAATACATTTTGTCTATAACTATGTATAGATAGTTGTATTCGCTATACTCTAAAACTAACGTAAACGTAAACAAGTCGATCTATTATAACGGTCTCCTTCTAATTTGTCAAATTTAAAAAGTTTTCGTAATTTTTTTTTCTCTAAGGTCCCAAAATGTATCCTCTTCTCCTCCTCTTCTTCTTCCTTCTCTTCTTCTTCTTTCTTCTTCTAATTCTAATAATTCTAATTTTAAACCCATTTTGGAAATTAATTTAATTTACATAGATTACGTAAATACTGATATTTTAAAGATTGCGTTCCACAAAAAAATAATTGACTTCAATTGTAACAAAACCAGTTATTTTGATTTAAAAGTTAAATTACTAAACCGGTTTTAATAAAATTTCTATAGAACTAATCTGTAAAAATATTCTTTCAGATAACATTTTCAAAATCGGTTTATATATTATAACTGACGGAGTTATAAGCTATGAAACCGAATTAAGAACCTCTATCTTTTTGAAGTCAATTGATAACGGCTTAACCAATAATTATGAAATTTAGTATACATATATTATACAGGTTGCCAATTGTGGCAACTACTGGCAAAACTCCCCTTACGGAGAAGGCTTATGTCCAGCCGTGGACATTAGATAGAGAAAAAAATGGGCTACTTTTTTCCCGGTCACGTCGACGAAATCGCGGGTAAAAGCTAAAATAAGATATTTATGGAAATATTTCGCCAAGTAGTTGCAAACTTTATCCATAACCGTCAAAATTTTATTTGAATCTAATCAAGCATGCACCCAGGCAACTGGTCCTCTTATCCGAAATACGAAGATTTAAGGCTGTGATAAAACTTTTATATTACTTGTTTCCTCTTATTAACTGGATACCTATGTAAATTGATTACAACAAACAAACTATTGAGTTTTATTACAACATTTAAATATTGATGTTTTCCGAGGTTTTCCCAAGAAACTACAGCACGGGGTTCTTCAAAAGGGTACCCCCCCTTTTTTCAGAGGTTTCAAAGAGGTTTGTTCAGGGTCGGCAACGCGCGCGTAATACCTCTGGTATTGCAGGTGTTCATAGGCTACGGTAACAACTTACCATCAAGTGGGCCATATGCTTGTTTGCCATCTCAGTGGTATAAAAAAAAATTGATTTTAAGATTTATAGCGTTTGTGAAGAACTGCTACAAAAATAATTTTGTGAAGTGTTTTTCAAAGACGAAAAATAGAAAAATATTAATCGTAATACGGTGATAATGGTGGAAGTCGTCCTACACTGCGTTTGCCCGTACTAAACGCCACTTTATCAGTTGTCGGATCTTCGAATGATCAGCCCATTTCACCTTGTTTATTCATCTAGCTATGTCGGCTAGTGATGACCTCAAATGCAATACAGATAGTCAGTGGATGCAGGTGGCTCAAACTATTCCTTATGGCAGTCTACGAGGGAGATCTATATGTACAGGTTTGGATAAATAATGGCCGAGATGATGACGATGATGAATGTGATAATACCCGCCTACTAAGTGTAGCAACTACTGACAAAACCCCCAAACAAGAGACCTATGTTCAACAGTGGATAGTTAATGCCTGATGATAACTGCAATAATACAAGTCTGTATTGTTAAATTATCCTTTGGATAAGGCTCTACTTTAAGTGTATTAATTGTATTCAATTAAAAATAGCAATTTATTACACTATCAAAGGAATATCTGCTGTATTATTTATAATAAATAAGTAAAAGATGTGAAAATACAACCAGGTGCTTTATTGGATTTGGTTTAAAGAAAGAAAAAACTATAAATTCTCTCTGCAGTAAATAGATTTGAATGTTGGTATCGATTTCATCATGAGTGCTTTCTTTGATATTTTGTACAATATAATGCTATTAAATGAAGTCTATCTTTTAAAGACAGCTTTCTTTGCATACTTGGTATACTTGTATTGGACAAAATAAGACAGAGAGCGCAATACGTTGGAATTAGGGATCAATGTAATTCTCTGATCTTGAAATTTTTCCCTTTTCCATTGGGTGTGTCCTTTTGGTTGAATTAGTTATATCCAAGTGAAGTTAGATTACACTTGCTTATCTTTACTCTTCACCTATTCCTTCAATGTTTGTTCCGTATACACGTATCGAGAGCATTCTCAACGTATTCTTTTATTCCTGGACTGCATTCGCAAACAATGTTGTTCTTGCATTATTCTTGTAGTTTAAACTTTTTGATTCTATGTTCTAGTTCTTTGAACTTTTTGTTGTTTCAGTTCATTTCATCTTAAAAACGATCTAAGTATTTCTACCGTAATTGTTGGCAACTTTCGTCTGATAGTTGTTTTGCATATCACGTTGCTTTCGCGTCATCGAAACAATAGCTGCTCTATCTGACACATTTCAAAGGTGCAAAGCGATTCGCTTTTTCCCCATTGTTTGCTTGTCGCATTCGACGTAGGGCTGTCTCGTTTTTATTTTTCCTCTTGTTCGCAAGTAGTACTTGTGAACAAAAGGAAAATACACGAGTATTGAAAATTTGCTCTTTTCTTGGCTGTATCTATTATCCGTCAGTCTTATCTGTTATTGTGATGGCCTTATATTTAAACAATGATTTTATATTATCGACATCGTTTTTAAATATTCAATTCTTTGTGTTCACTAAATAACTATTTAAATTAATATGTTTATTTTATTTTGTTTTTATAAAGCTACAGATGATATATTTACTACTATTATAGACCTAAAGTATTAAATACTACGACAATAGATACTAATGTATTATTAAAAGTATAAATTTATTTAAAAACTGTGCAATTTTCATTACATAAATGGAATACATAGAAACTGAGTTTTTTGGTTGAGCTTTCTTTAGCAGGTATTTTATAAAACAAATTCAAGTCGCACTGGTATATAATGTTAAATAAATTTTAGTAATGGAGAGGGCTATTCTCGGAGTATTCTATCAACCAAAGAGGTTGATAGAATACGAAACGAGTATATCCGCAAAAGAACCAAAGTAACCGACATAGCTCGATAGGATAAGCAAGCTCAAGTGGCAATGGGCTGGTCACATAGCTCGAAGAACCGACGACCGATGGGCAAGAAAGATTCTTGATCGTTCTTGAGTGACTCCGTACGCGCAAAATCAGTATAGGGCGACTCCCCACTAGATGGAGTGACCTTAAATGCATTGCAGGTAGTTAGTGGATGCAGGTGGCCCAGGACCGTTCCTTATGGCCATCTATGGGGGAGGCCTACGTCCAGCAGTAGACGGATAAGAGCTGAAATAATGAAATTTTGGTAAAATTTGTTTATGAAAGTGTTCATCCGGTTTATACTATAAAGGAAATATAATATGATTTACTCAATACCATGTACATAAATAGAGTCATGGATAAAAACTGTTACATAAAAAGTAAAGTAAGCTAAGCCCAATCAATAGCAGCCCTATAACGTTGCCAGCATGCCATAAAAGAGCTTTGTATACGTGCAAGTGCTGATTTTTTTACCTACTACTACTGTTACCATTTTATCGGCCATTTTTTACAACAG